CCTTTCTGCATCTGCTGGCATTTTCTCTTCTTTTCCCTGTCACAGCAAAAACAAAAACAACAAAGCCCTTCTTCCAATCAAAGGCAAAAATACCAACATACCCCAGTATGTGTTCTGTTGTCTTTCCCTCTCCCAGCATCTCAATAAACTAATTCCTTTGGCCGTAGATTGTCCTATATCATCAGTGTCTCCTTCCTGCTGGATCATTCCTGCTGGTACACAAACATTTAAGCAAAGAAACAAAACCTTTGTTTGTTTGTTTGTTTCTTTGTTTGAGATGGGGTCTCTGTTTCCCAGGCTGGAGTGCAGTGGTGCAGTCTTGGCCCACTGCAACCTCAGCCTCTTGGGTTCAACTGATTCTCCTGCCTCAGTCTCCCGAGTAACTGGGAATACAGGCGCACACACCACCACACCCAGCTAATTTTTGTATTTTTAGTAGAGACGGGGTTTTGCCATGTTGGCCAGGCTGATCTTGAACTCCTGACCTCAGGTGATCCACCTGCCTTGGCCTCCCACAGTGCTGGGATTACAGACATGAGTCACCATGCCCGGCCCAAAACCCATTATTAATCAGACATCCTCCTCTTACTCCTGCTCTACCTGTCTGCCTCCCTTCATGGCAAAGCTTCTTCAAAGAGTGGGGATCCACACTGTCACCACTTTCTAGGCTCTTTTCCATTCTTCCGTCAAATTCAGTCTGGATTCTTGCCCCACCCTCCATGACAACTGCCTTTGCTTTTTTCTTCTGTGGGTATTACCACTGGGATCTCTGCTGCCAGCTCCAAAGGTTGCCATTCTATCCTCATCCAATGGGACTTCTCAGCAAGTATTTGCCATGATTGACTGTTCTCTCCATTGTCCAAATAATCTTATCTTGAATCCAATGAAGCACCTTCGTTCTTCCCTTCTTTGTCTTCTCTGAAGGCTGATTCTCTTCCTCCTGGCCATTTGAAAGCTTGCTACAAGGCTATCTTGAAATTTTGCAGCCCAGGGTTCTTTCTTTGATGAGCACAAAATTGTTTCTTGGATTACAGTCTCTTTTTTGACTTTACACATTCTTCTTAGGAGATACCATCTACAACCATGGCTTCATGTGATTTAATATACTCAGATGACACACAGATTTTTATATCTAGCCCAGACTTCTCTGAATTCTAAACCTATGTTTTCAACTAACTACATTCTCCCTTCTCTTAGACCCCTCCTGAAGAAACCCCCAAACTTCATTCTATCCTGAAACACATTCAAACCTAGTTCTCTAAAATAGCTCTCCTTTTTAGAGAATTCATTTTCTCTAACTAGAAACTTGGTCATTATCTTTGGGACCTTCTTCTCCCTCACTTCTCCAGCATGATGCCCAACCTCATGACTCCTTAGTATCTCCTGGAACCATCCTCTTTCCCCTCATTGGTCACTACTACCTGATGCAAGCTGCCATCGTTTCTTGCTGAACTGCTGCACCAGCTTCCTAATGGGTCTCATACCCATCCTAGGCCCTTCCAGTCCATTCTCCTCTTTACAAAAGAATCACAATGAAAATCTGATCATGGCACCCCCTCGTGCTTGTCACCCTTCAATGGGATTTTGAATGTGTACGGCTCATTACAAAGACCACAAAGCTCCGCATTGGTTTGACACCCATCCACTGCCAGCCTCATCTCACACTACTCTCTCCTCCCTACCCTGGCTATCTTTTATGAATAGATTTGGCTTTTTGAATACCCTGGCTATCCTCTCTATAAATTGCACTCCCTTCTCTCAAAAGTTCTGTATGCATTGTTTTTCTGTCTGAATGCCCTTTTTGCCTCTGTTTATATGGCTGAGTTCTTCTCATTCTTGTCTTAGATTAAAATGTCATTTCCTTAAAGAGGTGTTCCCTCACTATCCGATCAATATGGGCCCTTCATCTCCATTTTCTTGATCACTAAAGTGAAAAAAAATGTATTGTTAATATGTGTCTGTTTATATGATTCTTTTCTTTCTCCCCAACAAGATAGTTAGCTCATTCATGTGGAGAGCCCATAGGTTTTATTTACAAGTGCTTCAGTAAATGAAGTACATGTAAGGGGTGTAGTAAATGATTGCTGAATAAGTGAATGAATGCTTAGGAAATGAGTACGTACATATGAAATCGTTTTTTAGTCTTTCCGTTGTCCTCTGGCTTAAGTTTTTGCTCTTGTACAATTTTGTTCAAGTCTTCCTGTAAATAATAGTGTCCAAATATTGACTCTGACGAGCAAGTAATGGTACCATCTTCGTTGTGATGGTCCTGGGGGAGTCATGGGGTAAGGAGACAGATTTTCTGAGAAAATCCTTCAATTTTCCTCCCTCCTGCACACAGTTTCAACCCTTTGGCCCTCATTCTTCAGCACTTCGGTTATGTAACTGAATTTTCTCTGCAATTATTAAGATATGTGATGTTATTTCTATTTTCTGAGAAAATTGAGGTTCATAGGTCCTAAGTTACTGATCAAAGGTCCACAAAGCAAAAAGTTGATGTGCACAGTTTAAAACCAGGTCTGTAAAATGTAGATATTCATGATTTCTCCTTCCATCCTACCACAGTGCCTCTAGCCATATGATAAAGTAGGGATTCCACCTACGTTAAATGTGTTGTAGATGGAAGGGGAAAACTACAAAGCTAATCCAGTTGGGAAGAATCAGCAAGTTACTATCACAGTGGAAATCCCTGGAAAAAAAAGGCTTGACTCTTACACAAATGGTCCTGACTAAATACCATGAAATTATGCAGCCCAGGGTTCTTTCTTTGATGAGCACAAAATTGTTTCTTGGTTTACAGTTATTTTACTGACATAACATTGACAACCAGAAGAATATAGGATGATTAAATCAACATCATAAGGCATCTCTCAATTTTTTTCCAGTAAATTGCATAGCATTATTTCCTAATCTATCCTTATTCTTTCTGTAAGGTTAATTTTGAGTAGGTATTTAGGAAAATGCTACTTTCTGTGATGTTTTATACCTTATTTTTAAAACTGCAGGTATTTAAAATCTTCCATATTCACACCATCCTAACTGCATTGCTTTCATTTCTCTGTTTACTTCCAGTCTTTACCCATATATTATAAAATGTAGTCTTTACATATTTTCATGCCACATAGTGATATAATTTTTATTCCATCTTTATTTACATTTAACATTTTTGTTGTTTTAGCAATAAAGAAGGAAGCAGCAGACAGAATATTTCAAAGCTTAATGTGTGTTGTTCCCAAATTGTATTTGTTTCCTTAGTATTTGTTTTCCTAGCTATGATAAAAATGAAGATTTAAGGGATGGTTACTACATATTAACACAGACTACTAACTTAAGTAGATGTAATGAAATTTTTTAGAGAGCTGGGTGATTCTCTGATTTAAATACAAGTTTAAGGACATGTAAGATAGTTGAGCATAAAATTGAGCTACAATCTAGAGTTACTACTAAACAGGCAATTATTTTGTTTTGGCAACATGTGTAGAGGCACTAACAATTACGTATGTCTACCTAGAAATGACAGAAGGAACACTTGAAATATGAAATTTACTTTATTAGCTATAAATGTGTTTTCCTTTGATAAAACATACTAACTTACTTGAAATTTATTTATATAAACTCACTTAACTCCATGTTCATTCTTGTTAAAGGTTGTATTTCATTTGATTATGATTAGGGACTTTATTTAAATCACTAAAATCGGCCGGGCGCGGTGGCTCAAGCCTGTAATCCCAGCACTTTGGGAGGCCGAGACGGGCGGATCATGAGGTCAGGAGATCGAGACCATCCTGGCTAACACGGTGAAACCCCGTCTCTACTAAAAAATACAAAAAACTAGCCGGGCGAGGTGGCGGGCGCCTGTAGTCCCAGCTACTCGGGAGGCTGAGGCAGGAGAATGGCGGGAGCCTGGGAGGCGGAGCTTGCAGTGAGCTGAGATCCGGCCACAGCACTCCAGCCTGGGCGACAGAGCGAGACTCCGTCTCAAAAAAAAAAAAAAAAAAAAAAAAAAATCACTAAAATCTCATTCCTCATTTAATGATGCCTACCAAAATATAGAGCTGTCTACATTAGCGTTGCTCATTTATTACACTAATTTCCCAAAATATACAAGTTTATTCTAAAAGCTCTTCATAAAAATTATAAAGAAGTGGCTTTTTAATTTCCCAAAGTTCTCATCTGGATTAGAATAAGGTTAGGAAAAATTTAGTTAACAGAACCGTGAGCTTATTTTAAACCACATATTATCTAAATTATCTTTATAACTGTGCAGGCATATTTCAGCAGTTTCTTTGAGGGTTCATGGACTCTTCAGAGATAAGAGTTTCTTTTGGCTCTTTAAACCATTTGAGTATTGTGGTGGGTTGTGTGTGGATTCCTAAAATATGTCTATCGGAATCTGTAAATGTGACCTCATTTGGAACAAAGGTCTTTGTAGATATAATTAAGGAAGAGATCTCAAGATGAGATCCTTCTAAAATAGAGTGGGTCCTAAATCCAGTGATCAATACCCTTAGAAGAGACAGGAAAAGATAGACAAATAGAAAACACAGGGAGAAGAGAAGAAGGCTATTTGAGGATGGAGGCAGAGATTGGAGTGATGCTGCCACAAGCCAAAGAATGCCAGGAGCCACCAGAAGCTGGGAGAAGTAAAGGAGATTTCTTCCTTAGAGCTCTTGTGGGGATCGTGGCCCTGCCAACACTTTAATTTCAGACTTCTGACCTCCAAATTGTGAGAGAATAAATTTCTGCTGTTTTAAGCTAGAAAATTTGTGATTATTAGTTGCAACAGCTGTAGGAAATTTATACAAGTATGCATTTGACACTAATTGCAGCTTTTGAATTGCTTTAAATCTTAGTCTATGGCTATCTTGTGTTTATAGTTAAGAGCTTTTTAAAAAAAGTATATTAAGGACTGAATGTCTGTCATAAAAACAATGCTATATATATATTATACCATTTATCCTCACAAGGTTACTGTTTTGGTTTTATTTTACCTACTGTAGATGTGGCTGGTGGCTATTCATATTCCATGCTTGATGCAATCAGAAGAGCAGTGATGGTTTCCAATATCCTTTTAATTAATAAGGTAAATGAGAAAAGCCTCACCCTCAAAGAAGTCTTCAGACTAGCTACTCTTGGAGGAAGCCAAGGTAATGACTATTACATTTGTCTCTCACACAATATACAACCATGCTGATCTCTGTCCTTGGATGTAGTATGAAGGTGCATGATTGATATTAGGGAAATCCAATATTCATAACGATCTCATCTCATGTAACATACCCAGAACTCAGCCAGTAAAGTGAAGTTCACTGACAGAGGAATCATTCCTTCGGTGATTTCACTGTCTTTGGTAGAATAGATGTCTGAGACACAGTTATCATATTGATTGTTTTAATGGATATTACATTGGTTACATGGATATGAGTTCTTTAAAGTAATCCATTCTTAGGCCAGGCGCCTAAGAATCACAGTAACTCACGTCTGTAATCCCAGCACTTTGGGAAGCTGAGGCAGGCAGATCCCTTGAGCCCAAGAGTTTGAGACCAGCCTGGGCAATGTGACAAAACCCTGTCTCTATAAAAAATAAAAAAATTAACTGGGCTTGGTGGAGTGTGCCTGTAGTCCTGGCTACTTGGGAGGCTGAGGTGCGAGGATCATCTGAACCCGGGGAGGTAGAGGCTGCAGTGAGCAGTGATTGCACCACTACACTTCAGCGTGGGCAACAGAGTGAGACCTTGTCTCCAAATAAATAAATTAAAGAATCTGTTTTTCCACTGAGTCAGGTAACTTGCTCTCCAGTGGCCTAAGTGATGATCATAATAGTAAAATAGTAGCCAAGGCTTACTAAGCTCTTTCCATGTGATAGGAATCATACAACATACTTTATATGTATTGTTATTTAATCCTCACAACCACTGTTACTCATTTCGTTTTACAAACAAGGAGCCTGAGTGAGGCTTACACAGCTGTCAAGCCACAGTGTGCTATGATTTGAATCCACCTAATCTGATGCCAGCATGCAGACTTCTTACCTTCTGCCTTTCCACTACAGTATCTTCCTGTATAAATCCCTGCCAAGACCATGTATTTGGTTCATATACTTAAGTACACTAATTCCTCAAACCTCTTTAAAAGGATAAAGATGTAAAAATTTAGTTGGTTGATATGCAAATATTGCTCATCAGCTTTTTCCAGTTCTCAGGTATAACTGTATTGTTATGGAAAAAAATAAAAATTGGTCGTTGTATTTCCTTAAGTCACTTTAGAATTATAAATGTAATCGGAATGGATCATAGTGAAACACAGCATGAAACCATAGGTAGCTAGTGAGAAATTAAAATGTAGATATAGATTTAGAAACATATTTGGTTGTAGATTTATGATAGATACCCTGAGTCTTACAAATGGAGGACGATCGAAGCCAAGATTATCCTGGGAAGAGAAACTTCTCAGATGTTCTCTGAGTGTTGGGGACTAGGATGAACACCATAAGCACATTTCAAGAAAAACAAGTACAGGATTGTTTTTTGTTTTAGTTTTTGTTTTGTTTTTTGCTTTTTTTTTTTTTTTTTTTTTTTCCCAAAGTCTTATGGTTCATTTTCCAAAATCCCAAGTTTCAAATCACTCACTATTTTAATAAGTGTTACAACCTTTCACCCACACCACCATTGTCCTTTCACATTTGAATTTGAGTTTGAGTAGTTATTCTACCATCTATGTTCATGGTACAAACAAGTCGTATTTAAACAGTGCTTTTTGAATTCTAGGCTCTCTGTGAGTTACTTCATCAGTATCCTGTTTCTTTGATCAAGCCAGCATGGGTGCCTACCAAATCATTTGTACTTTGCTGTGTAGCTTTTAAATCTATTTTCTGGGTCACTGGGCTTACTCATGGAATTTCTCTTCCTTAGTTTGTTTCTCTACTATAATCAGAGTAAAATGAGATGAATGGATCCGTATTTAAAGTGTGGCATTTTCCCAGCACTGCCATGGCCTTTACACTCATTCTCAAGAAGATCAAGATGAGCAAAAATGATCTTCACAGAACCAACATTTACTCCAAAAGCAGCAAAACCGCATTTCCTGAAATGCATTTGAGTCACTTACCAGCCCAGTGGGATCTCTGTGCAACAATTTTTATTTATATCAGTTTACAAATTCACTGAAAAGAATTGTGTCTTTTTGGTTAGTTCATTCCTGAAGTCTCCAGGCTCTACTGAACAACCCAGTTGGTTTATATATACCATCAACCTTGCCTAAACCCTAGTCACTGCACCTGGTTATCTGGTCTATTAAATGCGCAACAATTTTATGTTGAAGTCAGTCGTTAAAAACTTATACTTGACATGCTTCTTTGTCAAGGGCAAGAAGAAGTCGAGTAATCAGTGAAGGAGGAGAGAATTGCCAATGATTTTCTATTACATTCAGTCGTTCCCCATACAATTAGTAGGAGTCACCTGGCTCCTTTTAACATTTCAGATTATTTTCATACCCCTGTCTTGCTAAAGAGAGTACTTCAGCTAAAAAGCCATTTTTCTTTTCTGAGAATAAAAGAGTTGCCCTTTAAAGAACCTTTTAAGAACAAGTAAGATTTCTAAGTCAGTGTTTAGAGAAATGCCACAACTTTTGGATATCTATAGGTAGAAATATAATGTATTGGATAATGTCTAACAAAGGTAATCGATTCAATATTTTAACATGAAAGTGTATCTTAGCAGTGATAGAATGCAACAAACACATGTGAAAATTGAAATAAATAATACTGCACTCTGGTTAACCTTCCTTTTATTCATGCTTCCATTTGTGACCCCAGTGTACACCTTCCTCAGATTACAGGCTTTAAGGAACTTTAAATCCAATACCTCCGTTGGCGAGGAAAGCCAACTACCCCCATCTTTCTGAAACTAAATCATAAAAATGAGAGATGTTCTTCCTTGGTATCCAATAATCTTGGAACATGAGTTGTAGCTGTGAGATGAGCCAAGTCAATAGATATTATTGGCCTGTGCTCTGTTTTAAAAAACCATTCTTCTCTGGTGACCAGAAAACCTTCAGGGTTGGAAAGAGATTGGTCTGTTTTCAAAAGCCCCTGGGACTTTTGAGTTATCAGAATCTGTCCACTTTGAGAAGTGAGCTTTTTTTTTTTCCATTCAGAGGATTTAAACTAAGGAATTTCTGATGGATATGCCTGCATTGACAAATATGCAAAAGGATAATTATTTTTTATTTATTCAAGGTTCATTTCACTTCCATGAAAATAAATCTTGTCAGCTATTTCATGGAACAGAAAGAACAAAAAAGGCAATGCAAGGAGTTTGGAGTGTAAGGGGGAGAATAGAAGGGAAAAAGAATAAAGGTATTATGTTAATCATCACGTTTCTTAGAGGGATAAATGAAAAGCATAGACCAGCTGGGCTATGAAATGCACTGATAGAGCTGAAATAGAGACATATCAGAGTTATGATACAGTAATGAAGGGAACTGTTTTTATTCTCAGATTTTGCCTTCCTATGCATACTCCGCTTTATGTAAGAAGTCTTGTGACCTATTAGAATGAGAGTGCTTTTCTGTCTCACTGTTAAGACACTATTTTTTTTTCTCTCCTAGCGACATGTTGGCAAAATCTGTCCTTACAAATAGACATTAGTGTGGTCTGATGGCTTGCAATCCTGACTGTTTATTCACTTGTTCTCAATAGCCCTGGGGCTGGATGGTGAGATTGGAAACTTTGAAGTGGGCAAGGAATTTGATGCCCTCCTGATCAACCCCAAAGCATCCGACTCTCCCATTGATCTGTTTTATGGGGATTTTTTTGGTGATATTTCTGAGGTAAGTAAAAGAAAGTTAATCAAAAGGCATTTATTTCATAAAGTCCTTGTCACAATAGCTTCCCTGTAGAAAAGAAAATAGAAACTGAAACATTTTAATGGAATGCAGGAAAATCTTAAAAGGGATGCTAGAGCCCTTTTATAATTATTATAATTTTATGACAGCAATGTTAAAAATAATGGTATTAACAAAACTTTTTTTTTTTTTTTTTTTTTGAGACGGAGTCTCGCTCTTTAGCCCAGGCTGGTGTGCAGTGGCATGATCTCAGCTCACTGCAAGCTCCACCTCCTGGGTTCAGGCCATTCTCCTGCCTCAGCCTCCCAAGTAGCTGGGACTACAGGTGCCCGCCACCATGTCTGGCTAATTTTTTGTATTTTTAGTAGAGACGAGGTTTCACCATGTTAGTCAAGATGATCTTAATCTCCTGACCTCATGATCCACCTGCCTTGGCCTCCCAAAGTGCTGGGATTACAGGCATGAGCCACTGTGCCCAGCCAACAAAACTTTTATATTTTAAATGTTTTTGTATATTTGAATGTATTTGGCCACAAACAGCCATAATGTAATTAGCACTCATTGAACACTTGCTATGTGCTGGGTAGGCATGGGATTAGGCACTTCCTTATCTAATTTTGTTCGATCATCAGAGCAACTCTAAGAGAGTAGGTACTATTAATATTGCCATGTTAATTTATAGGGGCAGTGAGGCTTAAGGGAGGTTAAGTGATTTACATAAAGACTCATAGCCAGTGATTAGTAGGCGGAATTTGGATTCACACATGGGACTTTCTGACTACTGGAGGCAAGGCTCTTGACCGTGATGCTATGTCAATGGTTTTAATTTTGTAAGAAAATGAACTTTGTTTCTCTTATTATAAAATGTTTTTCTATGGATACAATAAACTAGTTCATCTTACCTGAAAAATGATTCCTTGTAAGATACTGAGTTCTTCCTAAAAAAAGAATTAACTATTGCCATTTCTAAATTGATCTACTTATGAGAGTAAATGTGATAATAAATACATTAAAGTTTTTAAAAGAAAAATTCTGCATTATGTGAAGTTTGTACCATTTGTTATTATAAAAGAGGAAAAATATCTTTTTCTCTACCCATCTTAGGGTCAAGGCTGAGGTCACTATAACAAGAGACAGATTAACAGGAGAAAGGCATACACATTTATTTAATATAAATTTTTTTTTGAGACAGAGTTTGCTCTTGTCGCCCAGGCTGGAGTACAATGGCACGATCTCAGCTCACTGCAACCTCTGCCTCCTGGGTTCAAGCAGCTCTCCTGTCTCAGCCTCCCAAGTAGCTGGGATTACAGGCGCCCACCACCACACCCAGCTAATTTTTGTAATTTTGGTAGAGACAGGCTTTCACCATGTTGGCCAAGCTGGTCTTGAACTCCTGACCTCAGGTAATCCACCTGCCTTGGCCTCCCAAAGTGCTGGGATTACAGGCATGAGCCACTGTACCTGGCCTGTTTAATATGAATTTTACATGACAGGAGCCTTCATAAGGAAGTGCAGACCCAAACAAACAGGTAAACTTGGGTATTTTTATGCTAGGTTTGATGAAGAGTGGAAAGTTGTAGAGAAATGTGATAGGACACGGAGTGTGATCCAGTGGTAATAAGCTAGAGGGAACTTAGCAAGGCCTGTTTGTTCAGATTCTTCTGTGTGACCATTTGTCTCCAGAGATCTGGCATAGGGAGGGCACCCCTTTACTTAATGGTCTTACGACCTGCATCTGGGTGAGGGGTGAGGGGTGAGGGAGAGTCAGAGTGACCTTCCTGTGTTTGATTGGAGGTCGTGTGTCCTGACCCCATCATTATTTTCATGTTGTTTATTATTTTACTCTCTTATTAGAGTAAATCTCTGGGAATAGGGCTGTAGGGAATAGTCCTAGTCATTTTTCTTACATCAGGGGTGTCCAAGGGAGAGAATACAGTCATGAGTTCTTAGTTTCTGTTTCTGGTTGTGCCAGTAAAGCCCCCTCCCTCCTCCCTCTTTTCTGCTTATCAGTAGAGACAGAAACTAAAAACCGTGGCTTCAGGCTGCTAAAAGCCTAAAACAAAACAAAACAGAACAACAAAAACAAAATAAGGCAAATTGGACGAGCTTGTCTTACATCATACCCCTCTTGAAATATTTGAATTATTTTACTAAATTAATTTCTTTAATTTATATAATACCTTTTCTCTGATGACTCAAAAGTTACATACCCAGAACTTTCACACAATAGGTAAACTTCTGTTAATTGCCAGTGGATTATTTTGTTGTTCTGGGAGGTTTTTATGAAGCACATAGCCACTTCTTTTTTAATTAATAGAAGTCGATTTTGACATTAAGAAATAAATTCATATTTCTGGGCTTTGCCAGCCACTATTGCCTGTGAATTTACTTTTCTAAATGCACAAACTAGTCTTTCTTATTACTTTTATTTTCCATTTTAGGCTGTTATCCAGAAGTTCCTCTATCTAGGTAGGTAGATGTATGTCTCTATGCTAAATATTAAATAAAACCTTTTCCTGTCTTTTTCTTGGGTATGGCTCTATATATTTATCATACCATATATTAAACTCTATGTATGATAATTTGCTTTGATTCATTATTTTTTTAACACTCTGAAGCATCAAGCCCATTGGTGGCACATTATTTAAAGGTTCTATTTGAAATCTCTAGTCATAAATTGTAAGCTGAGGAATGGAAGGCCAAAGGTGAAGAGATCTTCATGTTCAACCCCCTTGTACTCATTCGGTATCTGACATTCTCCCCTACCATGTTTTTGTGGCAAATGTATAGTACAGTCTCCCTACACGTGCTTGTGATGTACTCACATTCAATTCCATTCAGAGAGAGAAACAGTAATGCAGAAGATTCTACCCTCCCTCCCATTCTGTTGAGTGAGCTCAGGACTGAGTGAACTCGAGATGGAAAGACACATGTATTACTTCTTGTGGAGCTGATTCTGGAGCGTAAAGAGTAGTATTTATTTCTCAATGGGGGCAAAATGTAAACCAACCGCTTTAGCTGAGAAAGGACAGCTATAGGGGGTTGAGTCAACTTTATGTGATTTCTGCCTCTGGTGCAGAATTCAGACCCTAATCATCAAATAAGCTATAACATTTTCTACCGGTCATATCTTCCTGTTCAGACTATAAACAATCTGAGGGTGGGGGGAAAGCAGCTTTTAGCATTTCCTCTCCTAGAAGTATCTTTAAAAAAAAAATCTCTCCCAATGTCAGGGAAGATACTTATTGACACAAAAGGATTTTATACATGATTCCTTGATTTTTCTTTCAGGAGATGATCGAAATATTGAGGAAGTTTATGTGGGCGGAAAGCAGGTGGTTCCGTTTTCCAGCTCAGTGTAAGACCCTCGGTCATCTACGACATTCTCCTGGGATTAGCGTGGTTCTGCATCTCCCTTGTGCCCAGGTGGAGTTAGAAAGTCAAAAAATAGTACCTTGTTCTTGGGATGACTATCCCTTTCTGTGTCTAGTTACAGTATTCACTTGACAAATAGTTCGAAGGAAGTTGCACTAATTCTCAACTCTGGTTGAGAGGGTTCATAAATTTCATGAAAATGTCTCCCTTTGGAGCTGCTCAGACTTACTTTAAGCTCAAACAGAAGGGAATGCTATTACTGGGGGTGTTCCTACGATAAAACTGAAGCAAAGCCTTTTTCATATTTGAAAATGTGGAAAGAAAAGATGTTTCTAAAAGGTTAGATATTTTGAGCTAATAAATGCAAAAATTAGAAAACGGAAAATGGACCCATGAGAGTATATTTTTATGAGGGAGCAAAAGTTAGACTGCGAACAAATGTTAGAAAATCACTTCAGATTGTGTTTGAAAATTATATACCGAGCATACTAATTTAAAAAGAGAACTTGTTGAATTTCAAAACGTGTTTCTAGGTTGACCTTGTGTTTTAGAAATTTGCACTTAATGGAATTTGCATTTCAGAGATGTGTTAGTGTTGTGCTTTGCCTTCTTTGGGGATGAATGTCAGAAATTGAATGCCACATGCTTTCTTAATATAGTTTTGTGCTTCAAAGTGTTTGACAGAAGTTGGGTATTAAAGATTTAAAGTCTCTTAGGAATATTATTCATGTAACTACATGGCATAAATAGTTGTATTTTTTGTGCACTTTAAAATCAACTTATAACTGTGAGATGTCATTGCTTCCATTTTATCAGAAGAGAAACAAATTCTGTGCTTAATGAAATTTATGTAGACTGGAGTCTTCGTGAACCGGGGCAAGTGATGGGCATCCAGGAGCCGCCAATACTAACAGGACAGGTTCCATTGCCATGGCCTATTCCACCCAAACAATATATTGTAGTTTCTGGAAATTCCGTACTCGGATATCAGTCTGCTAGAACTTTAAAATGAAGGACAAATCCTGTTAAAGAAATATTCTTAAAAATCTTTAAACCCTGTGTATTGAAAGGACTCTATTTTCTAATTTTTGCCAATTTTCTGTTTAACTCCCTATAATTTTTAGGACATTAGAATTTTAGGATAATGAAGAGTACATAATGTCCTACTTAATATTTACATTAACAGGACAATTCTTACTAGATATTTAGGAACATTACAAAGCAAAGAATATTTTTATGCTTCCTAATACAGTGTGTTTTCCCATAACCTAGAATTAAAACCAAATTATGACCTTATGATAAATCTTTAAGTATTGATGTGAATGTTATTTAAATTCTATATTTTTCTTATTTAATTGCAAATACTATAAATGAGCAAGGAAAAGGAATAGACTTTCTTAATATATTGTAACACTCATTCCTAGAGCTTAGGGGTGACTCTTTAATATTACCTTATAGTAGAAAACTTTATGTAATATAGCTAACTCCGTATTTACAGAACAAAAAACATAGTTCCCCTTCCTGTAATGTAAATTTTATTTTCACATACTTATGCTAATTTAGCAGTAATTGGCCCAGGTTTTTTCCCTAATAGAAATACTTTTAGATTTGATTGTGTATACATGACACCTAAAGAGGGAACAAAAGTTTAGTTTTATTTTTTTAATAAACAACAGAGTTTGTTTTGTGAGATAAGTAGCTTAGTAAACCCAATTTCCAGTCTTAGTCTGTATTTCTAATATTTCTAGTTCCTGAGCCATGTCAAAGATGCCTTGCCAAATTTCCCCCCATTTCTCTATGGGGCTAGCAAGAATCTTCAACTTTATCCCTCAATCACTGCCAAAGGAACTTGATTACATGGTGTCTAACCAAATGAGTAGGCTTAGGAATTTAGATGAGATGTGTAAGATCCACTTACAGGCAGTAGCTGCTTCTAGTGTTTGCAAGATCCTACACTTTTACCTTCTTTAAGGGTGTACATTTTGATGTTGAACATCAGTTTTCATGTAGACCTAGGACTCCTGTGCAGTAAATATAAATAAGTGTAGCATCAGAAGCAGTAGGAATGGTCGTATACAACCATCCTGTTAAACATTTAAATTTAGCTCTGATAGTGTGTTAAGACCTGAATATCTTTCCTGGTAAAAATAGGATGTGTTGAAATGTTTATATGTACTTTGATCTCTCCGCATCACTTATAACTTATGTGTTCTATTTCTCCAAGTGCGGTGTTCCTGAATGTTATGTATGCTTTTTTTTTTTTTTTCTGTACCACAGGCATTAGCTATACCTGGGGCCAGATTTTCTGCACTTTGAAATGTTGCCTTTGCCTAATGTAGGTTGACTTTCTGAATTTTGGAGCGGCACTTTTCCAAGCCAATCTTATTTGTCCCTTTTTGTTTGAATATCTTGCTCTCTGACAGGAAAGAAACAATTAACTTAACAGCCTCCTCACCCCACCCTCCACCATTTCCTTCATGTTCCATGGTATTTTCAACAGAATGCTCTTTGAAAGGTAAAAACCATTCAAAAGTTATCGATTATCATAAATTCGCAAAATATTTTTGCAACCAAAACACAAAAGCAGGCTGATCAGCTAAGGTAAATTTCATTTTCAAACGAGAGGAAAACGTGGGAAGTAAAATATTAGGAGGTGAAAGGTTGTCCTGAACAGACCAAGGAGACTGTTCCCTGATTTATTCTCTTGGCTGGTTCTCTCGTTGAATTACCAGACCCCAAGAGGAGATCTTGGAACAAGCTCCCTTCATGCCAGGGGTCTTTCTAAGTTAATGCTGTGAGCATTGAGCCCCTATTAAAACTCTTTTTTACTTCAGAAAGAATTCTACAGGTTAAAGGGAAAGAAATGGTGGGAAACTCTCCCCATAATGCTTAGCCAACTTTGAAATGTACCCTCCAATATCCCCACTGGCAACTGCAGCTGAGATCTTAGGGAGGAAATGTAACGGGTGTGAGATCTAGCAATGCATTTTGAATCTTCACTCCCTACCAGGCTCTTCCTATTTTTAATCTTTTCACCTCAGAACTAGACATATGGCGAGCTTTAAAGGCAAGCTGGAAGGCACATTGTATCAGTTCTACCTTGTGCTGTACGTCGGAGAGATCCAAAATTTGGATGCTTCTGGAGACTCTTGGACATCTTTTCATTGTTGTCCATTTTTAAAATTGATGATGATGGTTGGAAACATTCACATGCTTAAAAGCAATGGTGTGAGTTATTAACAGGTAAACGAAAAAGTAATGACTTGAAATGGTTTTTAAATTGTTTGGATTGTGAAGAATTTTTGAAGTGCTTTTTTTTTTTTTTTGTACGGCTTCAAGGAGATGTTAGCAATTTCAGATCTACTAGCCAGTTTAGGTATGACTTTGGAAGTGCAGAAACAGAAGGACACTGTTAGAAAATCCTGACATTGGTCCCCATGCATGTGTTCACACCTGGTTTCACCTGCCCTTCCTTCCCACAGCCCTGAGTGTGAGAGATTGAGAGTTGAGGGGTTGCTTTGTGGATCTTGTCCAAATTTAGTGAAATGTGGAAGTCAACCAGGCCAATGGTGGAATTAAATGTAAATTCCAAGAGGACTTTCACAGTCCATGGGGTTCAAATGACTTGGGTAACAGAAGTTACTCTTTTTTTGTGTGTGTGAGCAACAAGGCTGTTTATTTCACCTGGGTGCAGATGGCCTGAGTCCGAAAAAGGAGACAGCAAAGAGTGGTGGGATTATCATTGGTTCTTATAGGTTTTGGGATAGGCGGTGGAGTCAGGAGCAATGTTTTGTGGGCAGGGGGTGGATCTCATAAAATACATTCTCAAGCGTGGGGAGAATTACAAAGAACCTTCTTAAGGGGGGAGATTATAAAGAATCTTCTTAAGGGTGGGGGAGATTACAAAGTACATTGATCAGTTAGGGTGGGGCAGAAACAAATCACAATGGGGGTAACAGAAGTTATTCTTAGCTTATCTGTTATGTGACAGTGATTTACCTGTCCATACCATTTCCAACCCAAAAGCCTGTCAGAAAGCATTCTTCAGAGAAAACCAGTTTACATTTGTTGTTAAACTCCTGATTGCTACTCTTAGGAATATATATGTATGTATTCATAGGAACATTTTTTCTCAATATTTGTATGATTCGCTTACTGTTATTGTGCTAAGTGAGCTCCTATGTGCTTCAGACAAAAATAAATGAGACTTTGTGTTTACGTTATTTTTTGTTGTGAGTTCTCTCTGTTTGGTTTTGTTGTGAATTCTATCAATCTGCCGGAAGGGGAATTGATTTTACACTGTTTTTCTTCTTTTAGCATGAATTTTAAAAAATAGAATAGAATACTTAGCTGTGAGCCAACATGTATCTAACATCCTATGATAGTCACTATACATAGCTTTTAAAAATTAAGCTCGAATGTTCAGCCTTTTAGAAGCAGATTGCTATTGCTTTTGATTTCAGCATAGTGTATATTTTATATATTTTAAGACATTACCCAGAGTGAGTAATGCACTCTATATGAAGAATCAGTTCACACAGACATATGTGCATGTGTATTTAAAACAAAAGTTTCACAGAATAATACTTTCTCTATTTGTGATGCCTTGGGCTATTTCCTGTACACTTTATTCTATGACATTTTATTTTATTCTCTACTTTTTAATGCTGCGGATGATTCCCCAGTTGGTTTCTTGAGCTTCTAATGAATCACCTGCAATTCGGAAGCAATATTCCAGTATGTTTGAGTCTAAGCTTGGTCATTCCCTCGCTGGGTGGCAGACATGTTACTTTAAGTCTCCACGGGTCCATTTCTAATTCCATGATATGGAGATAACATGAGTGCCTGCCTTACAGTCATGAAGACTAAATAAAAGGATACATAGACAGCACTTAAGCTAGCAGCTGGAACACAGTGAGTGCTCACTATGTGGTAGCTATTATCCTAAAAATGAATATAGACCAAATGAAAATAGAAACAATTTTATAAATATTTTTATCACTATATATTTTATAATCTAAATCAAGTGATATTATGGATCCTCCTTTACATAGAAACACTTTGCATCTGATTTTTTCAACAGTATTATATGTTCATTTTTTTAATTTGTAATATGAAACATAGAGTAGTAGATTAGGTCTATAAATTCATCCCAATGTCTGAGCAGCTTGCAGAACAAGTCTTTCAATTGCACTGGTGACCCAGCTCATCCCCCCTTTCTCTCTTGTAGTTCTCAGAATAACTGTAGAATGTGCTGGAAATGGAACATTCTCAGATAAGGAGGAACTGGCCAGAACAGACTGGGTTGTGTTCCCATCCCTCCTGAAACAGGATCTTACGGTGCCTTAGCCCAGCATGTCAAGTATCCTCAAGGTATAAAACCCAGGGTGGAGCATGCTTCGAAGGTCCCTCAGCTACGTTCAGATGTAGCTGACTCTATCTGCCCTGGGAAACTATCCTGAGCCTTGACAGACTTGCCATGAATCTTAAGCTTGTATTGTCCCTTGCTGCCTATCTGTGAGGAATAAAGTTGCTTCACTTACTTTGCTGTGTGATTGTTCTGTCTCACCAGACTCATGCAAGGGGTAGAAATTGCAGTCCTAAGATACAGTGGGCATGATGAAACTGCTTCCCATAACTTACTAAGCACTTATTTTCTCCTAAAGATCAATTTAGTACAAAATATCCAGAAAAATTTCACATGCATAATTTAGCAATAATGTATGTCCAGTTTGCACATTGTGGACACTGGGTATTACAATAGATAATATATAAATGTGCAGATTATTACATGGTACTAAATTCAGGATTTAAATTAACAACAACAACAAAAAAGATTTGGATATAAGATAAATACCTCCCAGTAGCAAAACAGGACTTGTGTTATGGTGTTTTAAGACTCCATCAAGAGACCACTTAGTTACTGGACCAGAACTCACAAGTAACACTCACCAGTGGCAGGTGTTTTATTTTGTTTTAATCTTATTTTAAAATAGGACAAAAGAGAAATGTTCTCTGTCTTTGATAGGACAGCATTTTAAAGTGTGATTAATATTTTAAACTAATTCAGACTTATCACTTTTATCTCCAGCCCGACCCTAACCTACTACCACATCATTGCAAGACTACATTGCATTTATCATACTTAAAAAATGGTTCATGCTTCTATAATAGTTGAATCTAAATTTTGGAGCAGGAATATAGATAGAGAGCTAAAAGCATTTTCTCTATTAACAAAAACTTTGTTGGGAAATTCTTCAGTGGTAACTAAAAAAAGTAAATATTAAATGTTTTCTCACCAGTACAAAATGCAATTAAAAAACAAAAACAAAAGCAGATCACATAGAATTTTATAGTCCACTTGAGCCCTCTGCTATTGCCTGGATTCTGTAGAGAGCAAGCAAACATTTGTTCCCTGTCTGTAGAAAGAGAACCCAAAGTCATAAGCAGTCAAATCAAACTGTAGAAATAATGGCCCTGGAAGATTGTTATTCGGTCAGATGACATCCACTCGCTTGAAAACTGGAACTTGTCGCTTCACTGTGAAATTAACTTCTGTCCTTTTAGTCTGGGTCACTCTCCAGATCAGACTTTTGGTTAACTGCTGTCAAATAAAACCCATAAATGAATAACCCAAGCAAGAATTCTGTTTGTGTATGTGTTTTTTCCAAATTTCTAAATTTGCTGTCCTGGAACACTTGAGAGACTTCAAATGGCCTTGGTGAGTTTTGTTTTTGTTTTTCTTCCACAAAAGTTGGTTTCATCCGCACCTGAGTTAAGGAACAAGTGAAGGATGGCTTTGTGTTTGTAAAGCACTTTGAAAACCTTGACCGAAGCACAGAAACAGATAAAGGCAAGAAAGGCTTAATTTATCAAAGTATTACAGAACAGATGAACCCTCAAATTGGAGCTTTGCCCAGGAAGGTTATCCAGGAAAGAATTCAGTGTTAGACAGCATCTTTTATTGAATAGTACTGCTCCCTACAGAGCAGGGATAACTCATAGGCAGTGCAACTAAAGTTGACAACATATGGGTTCTTGGCAACTGTATACTCACTTAAACCCACTTTTAATTACATGCAAATTAAGGGGTAGGTGAATGCAAATTGAAGGGCAGTTTAGGATTTTCTAGCAAAGGGGTGGTAACTTCTAGGTCATTGTCATAGCTTTTGTAAATTGCCATGGTGCTGGTGGGAGTGTCTTACGCTAATGAGCAATGAGGGCATCTATGGATTGCTTTGGTAGCCATCTGCTGATTCCTACCAGTTTCTTCACTTTATCCTGTTTAGACCAGATCCTGATTTGGTCAGCAAGGTTGTGACCAGAAAACAAGTCCTGCCTGTCTCCTACCTCAAAAGGATACTCAAAAGGATAAATGAAGGCGCTCAGAAATACAAGTGCACACACTTCTTTCAATTCATAAACTTTCTTAGTAGAACTATTAAAGATGAATTGGCAACCTATGTATTTTGGACTAATTTATATAACCACAACAAACCCTCCAGCATCATAAATATGTCCTGGCATAATGCAATGGCATGCTATCCATCCTGTAAAATCTCATGCTAGTGACTCAGAAACATGGGGGTAAAAGAGAAGCTATGGAGTTTAGGTTGTTTGTTTATTTATT